CACAAAGAAAAATTTTTCCTTCCACCCCTTAATGGAGGAAGGACCTGCAGTAAAAAGGTTCCTACTCCTACCTTCAACTCCCTGAGGTGTGAAGTAAAACCACCCATTTTCCTTCCCACTACCCCCCTTGATTATAAAGAAATACTTAAATAAATCTACAGTGGGAATCCGCACCCCCCGAAGCTGGCAGTACACTAAAATCCCACTACCAACCGAACTCCAATGGGGACGAGCTGCGTTAACCCCAACCCATATTCCTTCAGCAGCACTATCAGCAACTCCGGAATGGGGAACCGGAGCCCAGTTGCCAGGTAGTGCACGTATAGTGGCATCCAATGGTCTTTTGGAGCTGAACACGCTCGCTCCTCACCCCCTGCTGGCCTTACCAGCACATGAGGTGGGATACTGTAGTTCTCCACCAAGTGCCCCAGCTCCCCCCTGGACCTCCAGCACGATTCATACCCTACCACCTCCCCCATTACCTCGTCACTCTCATTATAACACTTTCCCTGGTTGTCACCAACCTCTAAAATGTTGGTTGGGACAAGGCCACCCTCTTGACCCCCGTATCCCCCACTAACAGAGGTCCTACCCCCACTCCCCCTACTTGAGCTCGAGCTGGCGTCCCTCATCCCCTCTCCTCCTCCAACACTTAGCGTTCCTTCAGACGACATCTCTACTATTACAGTCTTCACTACAAGAAGTGCGTCACCAACAATGATCAGAATCACCTACAATCTCTATTTTTTACTTCCCCCCCTTCCTTCCTGAGTGCCTAACCCCCCTTATCTAGGCTAATAAAATAAAACAAGATTACTATAGACCGAGATAGAGCTCAGAGTCACCTGGTTTTCTGCGACAAAGTTTAACACTTGTACAAATACTAGCAAATACCACGATCTCTGCAACCGTCAGCTTAGAAGACGAAGTGCTCTCGCGATTTCAGCAAGGTTTCGCTACAAATTCAGTGAGGTAAAATCATGAATAACTTAAGGCTGGCTATTTATACCCAGCCTCTCCCCCGTTTTGACGGCCACGATCGCCCACGTTCAACGGCCACAATCGCGTCCTTTCGAATTCGGTAGTTATTCCTAACACCATTTATTACAGCACGGCACACGAGGACAGCTGCCGTGATGAAATCATTTCATTTTACTTTATTTTATTTTATTTAACCTCCGTTCACTTCAATCTCCTTCACAAGGAATTGCACGATTAAATATTTTTCGAACAATCCTCACTCATGAAATCTTCTACTTCGGCTTCGGCCGTATCCCATGACCACATGTCATGTTACTTTTCACTTCGGCCCCGGCCGCATCTCATGACCACGTGTCATGTTACTTTTCACTTCGACCCCAGCCGCATCTCATGACCACGTGTCATGATACTTTTCACTTCGGCCCTGGTCGTATCCCATGACCACGTGTCATGATACTTTTCACTTCGGCCCTGGTCGTATCCCATGACCATGTGTCATGTTACTTTTCACTTCGGCCCCGGCCGCATGTCATGACCACGTGTCAGGTTACTTTTCACTTCGACCCCGGCCGCATGTCATGACCACGTGTCATGTTACTTTTCACTTCAGCCCCGGTCGTATCTCATGACCACGTGTCATGCTACTTTTCACCTCAGCTCCGGCCGTATCTCATGCCCACGTGTCATGCTACTTTTCACTTCGGCTCCGGCTGTATCCCATGACCGTGTCATGCTACTCTTCACTTCGACTCCAACCACATCCCCTAGCTCCATGCCATGACATCCACTCCTCGACTCCACACCAACACAAACCCCCGCATCATTCACGAGTGAATGACTTCGTGGGGGGGAATAGTGTAGTGGTGGTAGACAGAGGTCATGAGATATCAGAGGTATGTGGGTTGACAGAGGTCATGAGGTATCAGAGGTACGTAGCCAGAGGTCATGAGATGAAGCATGTTGCCAGTCCGAAGTCGTGTACTTCATAGCTGCCCGAGATGCACAACCTCGGACATCCGGAATGGCTCCCGACATCTAGTCACCTCGATTTGATTGTAGGACGACAAGCTCGATCGGGCTTGAGCTCGTCCCCTCTGCTCTCGCTCCACAGTAGTTCTGTACACATGCAAACCCCTCATGTGAAGCTCCTGCGATGTTTGACAAGTATTGCTCGGATTTCTCAGAAGGATCAACACGTGGGCATCCCCCTGGAGGCCTATAAATACCCCTCAGGGTCCACCTCAGAAAAGTATTGGAAATCGACCTTAAACCTAGCTTTCATTCTCATTTCATAGCTGGTAGCTCTAATTATTGCTGATTTAAGGATCAGAGTTCCTACCCTGAGAACCAACATCGGGGCTTTGCAGGTAGTCGAAGTGAAGACTTGAAGTCCGGAGTGCCTCCCAATTCTCTGCAACTACAAAACTCAAGTTTTTAGTAACTAAAATGCTCCATTTGAACTTTCATTGCCTTCTTATTTAGACTAGAAGCTGGAACTCAATCGAGAAATACTTCGACCTCACTTAGTAAATTCGAACAAGAATTTACACTCTAAACTTGAGTACCCTGTAATTTAGGACTGATTTTCTTTTGTCTATGTATAAATTTTCGTTTTTTATTTGTAATAATTTTATGCTGCTAGAAATTTCGTTAGAAGGAGCAAACTATAGGTCCAAAATCGCAATATAAAATATATTTAATTAAAAATTGTGCTAATGATTGCCTTTGTTATATGGTTATATGGGAGAGCAGGGTTCTTGTAGGCTTATTCCCTAAACAAGCAATGTTAATGACCTAGATATAGGCATATTCATGTTAAGAACTCTCTTTTCTTTTTTTTTTTCTTTTTTTTCTTTTTTACCTTTTTTTTTCCTCCCTCAATTATTGCATTTATCATAGGTTTAAAAACAAAAAAAAAAAAAAATCAAATTTGTACTATCTTCCATTAATATTCTTTAATTGTGCTGGATTTGCTTCTTACCCAAGCTGCATTAATGGTCCCTTGCCTGAAAGACACTCATGGAACTTGCTACAGTAGTTACATATGGTGCAACCATTAGATGAGACTCATATTGCAATTAATATCGGTAGAAATATCAATTTAGTCCCTTAACTTTTATATTTTTATTAAATCCATCTTTGAGGGTTAAAAGTACCACAAATTAGTATTTTAACCTTTTATAATTTTCTCATGCTCTTAGCAGTTCTACTTTCTCCAGTCATGCGACTAAAAATCAACGGCACGTACCACGTACGATAAAGATCTATGCTTCTATGCCTTCCTTTACGAGCGAAAGAAGCAAAAAATCAATAATAGTAGTGTTTTGGTCTCTATATATATTCCTGCATGATTTCCTATATGATTTCACATGACTAATTCTCTCCTATCCCCTAGCAGCAAACTTTTTTCCTTAGTTCTTCCTTCTGCTTCTTTCAATTGGTGAGTATTCTTTGGCTACATATAGCTTTGATTCTTTGCTCTTTTTGTTAAAATATCTCGTTAAATATGGATCAATGCATTTTGGTATTGTCAATTTTTTTAATTCTCTTATGTTAGGGTCTGACTTTATTTTGTTGATATAAAAAAATTAGTTTTTTATCTGTAATAATTATTTTTGTTGCTAAACTTTCTGCCAGGAGTCTTTTGGGAGGGAGAGAACTACCGTGCTAAAATTTGCATTCAAGAAGGTTTCGATCGATTGATTTCGAGGAAAAAAGAATGGTATTAAATGTTTTTAATTTCTTATTGTTGTTACTATATAAATGCTTTGTGTACTTTTGATTATATTAAATTGTATAAAATTAAATTTTTTTTCTCATTTAAGAATTTTATTATAATTATTACAGTTTAATATAATATAAATTAAAAAAAAAATCTTATTACCATTTCATTAAGTTCATAGAGAAGTGTCTTTCAGTATAAATGCACTTTTTTTATAATCTAAACACTAAAATTATTAAAAATATTTTTAATAGAATTACTCTTTTTATTTATTTATTAATAATATTTTAATAATTTTAATAGAATTATTTTTTTAAACAATGTATAATTTAAGAGAGAGATTCTTTTCAAG